AGTTCTTACATTGTTTAATGTAATTGAAAAAATTTTCTTCTCAATGCCCCACTCTTTAAGTAAGTTATGCACAACTTTATACAAATTCTTAACAGTATAAGGGGGTTGGACATGCATAAAATTCAAAATCAAAATGTGTAAATTCCAATCATCATTAACACAGTGGGTAATCAAACATAAATATCTTTGTGTTATAACAAATATCCACATATCACAAGTTAAACATGTTCTACTAGATAGTTTTTTCAAACTCTCATTAATCCTCTCTTTCTCTTTTATAAATTTTCAAGCAATGATTCTTCACAGTATTCTTACAATTAGTTTCACTTTTGCATTCAAATACTTCATTAATTCCCTAATAGCTTCATGCTCAACTTAAGTAAAATGATATGTATGTTTAATAACAACCATGGCACATAACTCTTTAAAAATTTCTCGATCAATTTTTCACTAATTTTCTAGAATTATTTAACATTATCTAGAACAGATCTTTCTACACTTGATGCGGGCATTTTGGAACATGCCTTGTCATATTCAAAGTGCCATGAGTTCTTGTGCAAATATATTCTTTTCCATAGTATTTGCATTTACCTTTTCTTACTTCATCCTTATTCTCTGAAAGAGGTATAAGGATAAAATATTCCCAAACAGCCGAGGTAGAAGCCTGTTCAATAGGTGCCCGCACGTTAGATTTTGACTGCACCTCAACCTCGACCTCCTTCTCAAGTACAAAGCAAGAGCCAATATTGCTTGCATACTCCTTGTCCTTGCCTTTATCAACATCTACTATATTCAAATTTTAAATCCACAATTAAAATTTATAACAAACTGAAAAAAATAAAAATAGAATTTGTAATAAGCATCTACAAGTAAAAGGATCCGAGTCCAATTTTGATTGTGCAACTGTATATTGCTTTTCAAATTAAGCATCTTTATTGTTTCTCTTCCATTTCATTTGTGACCACCAAAGATCAAGCAATCAACAATTAAAATAAAATAAGTAGAATTGAGGAAGTAAAGATAAGACAACAAGCTTGTAAGATGCTAATACAAGAACATGCGACCAAAAACTACCCATGGTTAATTTGTTTCTTGGATCGTTATCCCTTGTTTTTCATTCGTTGTTTGAGACCAAATCATTCTAATCAACCAATTTCAACCCATAGAATCACATGGAAGTGGTGAACCAAACTTGGACTAAGTTTAATCACCACCTTTTGTTTCATGACCACCCAAGAATTGTTACTTGGAATGGAGAGAAAACTAAAAAGCATAAACAACTTACCTTAAAGGCTTTAGAAAGAAAAGTTGGTGTTAGAGAGAGTATTGTGGCTTGTCAGACTCAAAGGAGAAAAGGAGAGGTTGGAGTCAATGCAACAATAAGATCTAATTCTGAAATGATGTTAAAGAGAAAAGGTGGAGTCGCCGAGTCAGAACTTGAAAG